TTTACAAAACAGAACATCAGTGCAGCTAAAAAAAATTCTGCAAAAATAGCAGAAATGTTATTTAATTAGTTTTATGTATATGTATACATACACATGACAACTATATTGATGTGGAAATTATAGATTTGAAATGTATATCACAAATGTTGGACATCTCAGGGAGCAACGTTCAAGCCGATGTCTGAAGATGAAAAGACAGAGACGCCCCTGGAACTGTACCGGGACATTCCCCAAAACATATTGGCTGGGTGTGAGAAGAACATTGACTGGAGGAGCAGCCAAGAGGCCCATGATGAGAGCTGCAGATATCCACAGCTGAGCTGGGAGATGCTGTTGACAGGAAAACATTTAGTCATGCTCTCCAAGAACCTGGCTTTTATGGAAGAGTGGCAAGAAGAAAGCAGTTGTTAAAAGAATGGCTTTAAGACGTCCATGTAGCTTCCTGGAAGCCATGCAAACTGACCAAAGGAAACGTGGAAAAGGTGGCTAACAATGTACCAGCGAGAACAGCATTGAGAAGAGAGGCTGCTCAAAGTCGAGGAGAAGTTCGATGGAACGTAAAATTGGGCAATAGAGGAAGAAGATCTGTTGGAGGAGGCAATTGATTTGAGACTGGGGTGCAGGATTATCATCCAGAACGACAACCAGAGCTAGAATGGAGTAATTGGGATCAAACCAAAGACCAAACTGAGTATCTGTGGCAAAACTGGTGTTCGCTGATGCTCATCGATCAAACTGGAGCTATCTGGAAAAGAAGGATCGGTAAAACTTTCCTGTCTCTGGATGTGGAACGCCGGTAGACGTTCCCTCTATGTCCAAGCGGCAGCAAAACGGTGGTTCTGGATTCGAGTCAGGTAGAGTCGGACACAAAGAGATAGAGAACCTTCCCTCCCAGTTCCCGTTTATGTGCTACTTTGTGTCGGTCTGCCGCATAAAACTTCCAATAAAACACACTAAAATTTGTGGCTTTAACATGACATAAAAGTTAACAAGTTGAAGGAATACTTCTGTATGGCTGCATACGGCGGCCCTAAAAACGGCGCGCATATGTGGGACTTATGACACATAAGTTCCGACGCAGAGCGGCAGAAATGGAACTTATGACACTGGGCTGGGCAAGCCACGACTGCCGTGGATAAAAACTATTGTAATAATGTTATTTTTTAATAACTGTATAATAAGCCATCACTTGCCCTTAGAGTTGATGGAAATGTGGAATCAATAACTTTTTATATGGCTCAGACATCGCATTTTGCCATGACAGCTACAAGAAGTGGTGTCAGCAGAGTCGTGGATCTGAACATTTCCAACTGCTTTGCCATATGTTAGAAATCATGGTGTGTACAACCTTGCTAAATGGTGGCAATAATGAGTGGCTGTTATTGCCAGAGTCGTTCCTAATTGCAAGTATGCGATCCGACTGCCAGTGCAGGATTTGGGAGTTGCATTTGGAGTTGCTATGTAACAAGCGTAATCCCTTAAACAAACACGGCCTTCAATAAACGTTGATTGCGTGTGACAGTTATTTGCGTTGCTGCAGAACTATTCGAAAAAGGAAATTGTAAAAACAAGCGGCGAGCTGCTAAGCCTGTTAAGTTGCTAATTTGATGCTTGCAGCCCGGGCACCTCCTGCCACACCTGCGGGACAGAGGATGCGGATTTTGGACACTTTGCACGTTAATGCCAGCAGACGGCTTTTTGACACATACGAAGTGCATGTGCACAATTACTTTTGTTGTAAATCCGGAACGAGAACTGGGGGAATAATGAAAGATCCGTAATGAGTCAGTGTATACAATCCAGTTGGGATCCATTTGAACAGGTGCAGAGGTGGGTTGTGGAAACTTTTTAATTTTTTTCCATTTTATTCTATTTTCGTTACCGTCAAGCCTCGGAACAGACGGCTCCTTCTATACCGGCCTTGTGCGACGTTTCCTAAGGGCGTAGTTTGAACTTTAATTTTTTTTTTTCTGCAGAGCTTATTTAACTCCACGTTCCACCGGAATACCTGGCTTTTTCTCCCGCTCTGGGATCCAAACACAACACAAGGCCATTGTCCCTGTTTGCTTGAGGGGGAATACAACGGAGGGGCAGCTCGGTTATTCCACTCAGGATGTGATACGAACGGGGGGCTTTACGACGCGCATGAACCGAATCACACTGCCTACCTTGAACACATTACGGAAACGGGCAAATATTTCCTCTTACTGCTGCTTTGAGAGCCATACACGCGGCCGTTATATTGGCCCGGTGTGCCAGCTGGTGAGGACAAATCCACAAGGATTCCTGTTTCCCTCTCCTGACTCTCTGGCAGCCCCGCTCCATTCATTCTGTTTTTATATATGTGCCCACTGCCTGGTAGCTGTGCTACTTACTACCGGTTTCAGGGGAGAATTAATCAAAAGCAGGTCTTATTAAAGTATATTAAGGCCGGTCGAATTAGATGTTATGTGCTCCATAAGGGCCCAGAAGGATTGTACGCGAGCCATGGTTGACACTTGTGGCTTCTACGAGTCAGGATATTGTTGCTGTGTAGTGGAGCAGTGTTGGTTCCAGGGGGGCCAATTCACTTGAGCCAAATGTTGCATTGTGGGTAAGTAGATTTTAAGTGGGTATGAATACAGTAGGGGGTAAAAGGAGGGCTTCATAGTCCAGGAATGTTTATCCCCCAACCAGGCCTTCATTCAGGGCGAGATTATGCAGCAGCATGCCTCCTGTGCAACCTTTGCCTCCATGTGGAGGGTCTGTTGGAGAAACATACGTCCGTACATATCCACATGTACGTAAACAGTCGTTACCTTCGTAATGAGAAGCCAGGTCTTATTGCCCCCTCAAGGCACGGCGAGGAGGAGGGAGAGCAGCCACTGCAGAGGGCTGTTGTACCTAAGTATCTCAGAGGAGCTAGGAGGAAGCGGCGGATGCATCATAGACATCATCTTCCTCCACACCGCACATTTAATTGTATCGTCCGTGGGTTGTGGAAAAGCGTCGGATCGGCCCGGTCGAATGGAATGGCTTGTTGCCGTTTGCTGCGGAACTCTGGTTTCTGCTGTTGCCGGTCCTAAGTGTAGAAAACGATGACTAAGCTGTAAAAATATTGCAAATAAACCTTTCTTTTCTTTCATCGATCAAGGAGTCTATAGGGCGAGTGCTCGATCTCTAAATCTTGACTTCCTCGGTCTTAGTTCATCTTTCAAATAAAATAATTCTCCAGTTGGGCGAGGGAAGAACGGTGAGTTCGTCTCTGTCAAAAACCAAGTATGAGAAAACTATCAGAAAGTTTCCTTTTTACCAACCAAAACATCAAGAAGGAGTGGACCTCTGCAAGTGCACCTGGCCCCCCTGCGGTCAGCTGTTGTATGGGTTAAACTTACCTCTATGCAAAGCCAGACTGGACCAGGTTGTAGTGTCATATTTTGATTGAATGTAAACGAGTCTGGGTAACGCTAACAGATTTTTGATCCTATTTAGAATTAATTGGAACAAACTGTTGTCTTTTTCATTTGAAAATGGCAAACTTAAACAAACCAATTTAAGTAATTGGTAATCGGCCAAATGGTTACAAGCATTTTGGGGGGCTGCAGTGGCCCCGGGCGTAAGCACAATACACATAACAAGGCCTTAGCTATGTATCCTATGAGGTAGGCTGATTTCTTTTAACATATGAGCTTAATCTGTCTAAGTATTCATTTTAATTTATTAAAATAATACGCAATCAGTTCAAACAACAACAAAAAAAAAGAAAAACTTGGGACTTGCTCCTGTGTCATCCTCCTCCAGTTCAGACAGTCACCAGCTTTCCAACCGGAGAGGACAAACTGTCGTGCAGACGAACGCGTCACACTTCATCTCCACAGAGGTTTCCACAAAAACACCCAGTCGCTTTTTCCTCTCTTCTTTTCTTCTACTTGTTTGCCCTTCTGCCTCTGTAAAATTCCTGTTTACCACGAAGGTATTTTAGTTTGTTCTTTAAAACACCAGCCGGAGCATTTATGGAGCTACTGTAGTGCAGCGCGCTGATGAACAGGCCCCTAATTGCTGCCTGCTCTGCTCTGCATCTCCTCCGCGTGTATGTGGGTATGAATGAGAAGACAAAACCGCACAGTCTGTGTGTGTGTGAGGGAGAGAGAGGAAGCCGACCAAGAACCCTCTGCATTCATTTACTATCTCCTTGTGTGGTTTGGCAGCAGGCGCTTGCTGGTAAAGAGGGGGGGGGGCATGGCGGGGTGTGTGCAACGGGCATCTGTCTGGACGCGAGGCAGGCCTGGCACGCCACGCCGCTCCCCCGCGAGGCCCGGCATGAGGGTGGGATCAGAGCAGAAAGCCTCGCTCGGCTCCAGACAGCCAGTCTGTGCACGTGCGCGGATGCTAGCAAATGCGCATTTTTGCATGCATGTGCACTTCTGCGAGCGCAGGGGCAATTAAAGTAAAAACCACACAAGCTTAACCAGCAACCAAAGGTTGGCTATTGTTCCGCCTGTCACTTCAAAACGCGTTGACCTCTCCGTACGGAGTCTCACCATTCATCACTCTGTCACACGGCTTGTCCGAGTCTGTGTGTTCCCTAATCATGTCCTTTTTTTTTTTTTCTGTGTGTGTGCAAATTTTACACCAGGCTGTTTATTTGACCTCTGTGGTTGTTAGAGCTGTGAGGAGCGATCAAGCCAAGCTGAAAGCAACACAATAATATCCACACCGCCGTGGCAGCTCGCCATACCTCCCTGTTCTCTGCTGGATAATAAGTGAACCGCCACGAAGCCGAGCTCGGTTTGCACTTGGACAGCACAACTCCCTTGGAAGATAATATTTTTGCTGGAAGTATTGTTTGTTGGACGCCAACACAGGATATTATCTCCTAAACAGCACCAGCAATGGAAATCGTGCGACTGGGCTGAAGTTCTGAGGCCTTCCGCGCTCAAATCCGCTCGTGAAAGTTAAGACATTCAAGGCAAATGATTAACAAAAGCACACAATGTATAGAGAGTTTAGCTTTTTATTTTTTCGCCGTTTTCCACGGCAATTTCTTTCTCCGCACTCGACGGCGAGCGGAAAGCGACGTGGCGTCCGAACCCACGGACGTGTTCGCTGACGTCGCCGGTTTAATTGAAGACAACAGGAATAAATATCAGTGGCAACAGCTGCAAAAAAATCTGAGCGCAGCGGAATTTCAGTCGCAGCACAACCCACAGACATCAGCGAGGCAGCAGCCGCAGCAGAACCGGCATCTGACGGGACCGGGGTAGTGGTTTCCCCTTATGTCGTACGGCATCTGCGTGAAGACACAGGAGAGATGAGTCCAGGTGTTTGCCAATGGCGGATCCTTGAACGCAGCACAATGCGTAAAACGCAGGCGAAAAAGAACAGAGTTTGGGTTGAAACGAGCCGTCAGATCGGGAGCTCTCACAATTATGAAATTATAGATTTTTCATCAGTATGAGGTTTAGTTATTCAGTAACTTTCTCTACACCAAACCAAGTATCTTTGGTCTAGTGGTCTAGTATCCTAGTACATTTGAAATAAGCCACCACTGGCTAATGGTTAGCTTTTCAGCAAGAAGGAGAAGCTTGTTTTAAGTCAGTAGTTTCTTAACAATGATGAAAAAGTACTTGTTCCCATTGGCTGATTATTTCACTCATAGCAAGGGGAAAATATCTTGTACTTTTTCATCAATATTAAGGATTTACTGACTTATGACGAGCTTCCATTTCTTGCTGAAAAATTTCTTCTGACTCAGGTTTGTTTTATTTCAAGTGTACTTAGAAATTTGCACCAGAAACTAGACTAAAAACATTTGGTGAAAGTTAATGGGTCGCAAAGTTTTTTTTAGATTTTAAACAAAATAATGAAAATAAGCTTAATTTAGAAAGGGACGATGTTCAGCTCAAACATAACAGTCACTGTTTGATGCACTCTACTGGATTCTAACACAAGCTAACTCGCATCAGATGGGAAAACTGCTGGGTTTTTAAAATGTATTTTAGTATTATTATTAATAATATCATTAATGAGAATTTAAACAGGGCTTTTCTGATGCATATTGTGCTGCCGTGTGTGTCAGTGGCCCAGTGCAGGGAACACAGATTTGATCTAGTTATTTCACATCTGGGTACTTTTTAATTTTATTTTTAAATCTTCATTAGTATCCACACCATCGCCTCCATTTGGCTTTACTGCAGGTTTAAGAATAAAAACTGAACACCTGCCAAAGCCATCAAAACAATTTGATGAGAAGAACGAGTTTGTTCACGGGTGGGAAACAAGTTGAGGAAAAATTCATGCATTTTACTGACGGAATTAAAATTGTGCTTTGATTTGGATTTTATGAAACAGAATCACATTTTCAAAATTTGTACAAACCAACTGTATTTTTTTTTATTATATGCATAGCTATGGAAAAAAATAAGAGGCCACTTAAAATGATCAGTTTCTTTGATTTTACTCTCCATAGGTATAGTAAGAACAAAGTGAATATTGTTATTTAATTCTATGAACTACTGACAACATGTCTGAAATTCCAAGCAAAAATTTAGCAAATGAGAAATGGTTAAAATAATGCAAAGGAAACAAATTCATATTCATTTAGAAACAACAACACTTCTCATGGCTATTTCAGTGTTTTGGATGATAGTGTAGATGCTGACTTTTGGGGAAATAAGAAAAAATGAAAACGAGAGAAAAACACTACTGGTACTCTAAAAAATGTTTTGGAGTACTGCAGCGTGGATCTTAGTTCTTTCCCAAACATTTTCTTAAAATCTCCATCTTGTCTTGTTCTTTTACACCCAAACAGCTCAACATACCATCCACATTTCTGTTGACTCTTGTGTTTCGCTAGTGACGCTCAACTCCTCCTCCAGCAGCTCATTGTGAAGCACGCTTAACAGCACAAAATTACTCTGGGAAAAAAAAATTAACAACAACAACAACAACAGAAAAATAGAACAAAGGAAACGCAGAAATGTGCAAAATGCATTATGGTTCTTGGCTCTTACTGTCAAAAACAGCAGGGCAGAGATCTTCTGAAAGTAAATGAAGGCGAGTAAAATCACAGCGAGTCTGACACCGAATGTCCTCATTCTCTGAACAGGTTACCTATTAACTGTCATCCACACAGTCAGACTGTTTGGACAGTCTTTTTTTTTTTCCTTCTCGTCACGATGCGTCGATTTGAGTTGCCAGTAGAGAGTGGCCGTATTTATACTCAGGTGGGGGAAACGTTGCATCGCGACTGGAACGGCAATTTGAAATAGGAGTGCGTGTCATTCCAGTCACAGTGGCTGGAAAGTCCTGTCGCTGTGTTTTCACTCTAAACAAGAACAAGATATCTCCCAGGATGCTATGCTTTGTGCATCTGAAGAATGCAGAAAAAATATATTCTTAAAAATGTAACATTTTTTATTTTTAGATTACCCTGAAGAAGGCAGGACAAAAGCACTTTTCGAAAGCTTTGATTTACTACAAAATGGATTTGATTCTTGAGAGCTTAGCTCTGTTCAATTTTGACTCTGTGCACCGTGATTACGTTTGAGTGACCAACTTGCGTAGCAGCAGCCAGCTGACTGAGTGAGCATCCACAGGATGCGGTTTGCTCTGAGGTGGACTGGCAACATAAAACCAGTAGCAACACCATGTGCCATGTTTTAAGATCTGATACATACATTGTTTGCGTCCTCTGTGTGGAATTAAGCTTATAAGAAAAGCAGGATGCTGTTAATAAATGTAGAAATCTGTTGTGGTATCAGTAGGTTATTTGAAGCACTTTCTGTTACTCACAGGTAACATTTCTGATCTTATGCAACAAGCAAAACTGTTTTGGTCACTGGGTTCGGTGTAGTGACCCGATGCCACCTCTGAACTTTGTACGATCAACAAACCGCCCAGAAATCGGCTCTGTGGCTTTCTGTCTGCAAAAAAAGGGGATTGTAGTAATGTCTCCATCAAGTAAAATAAAAAATGACCCCGGGTTTGGCTCTTTGTGAAAGGTTTGCTTTTATTTTTCACAGTTCTTACAAAATTTCTGATGGTCTTCGATTATCTTTCAGTACTTACCTGGTTTCTCTTTAGCTCCTCCTTCTCTGTATAGTTATTTACAGAAGATATTTTAAATCAGAGCTCATGATGCACCGAAAAGGTTACAGTCATGATGTTAATTTGTGTGTGTGTGTGTGTGTGTGTGTGTGTCCGTACTACATGCAGATGATCATTTTCACAATATTTACTAATAGCACTTTTTTTTGGCAGTCCTCCTGTTACCTTTTAGAGTAGGAGTGTTTTAATTTGGGTAACATCAAAAATCAGAATATCTTTAAAGATCCGGTTGTGCCAGAATGTATTGGTAAAACCTATTAAACTGTTAAAATATGTATAAATAGCTGTCCCTTCAGAATTTTGTGATTGTTTTTGTGGCTTAATGTATGATGTTAAGTGTATATTTTTTATTACTTGCTGTGTCAATATACTATAAATTGACATCAAGTGATTCCTGTAAAATCAAAAAATCTGGGGATTTTGTGTGAATTTTGGGGACTTGTGAAAAACTGGTGGACTTGATGATGTAATTTGGAGTATTGATGGCCACATAAAAAGCTTGTGGGGAGCCAGATTTGACACATGTGTTTCACAGGTGTGAATAAAGCTTTGGTTAGGTTTGGGAATAGACAAGTAATGGTCAGGGAACATTTCTAAATTAGGCAGAATTACAGTTACTAAAATGAATGGAAGTCAATGCAAAGTTCTAATTTTGCATAAAAGTACAAGGGTGTGTGTGTGTGTGTGTGCGTGCGTGCGTGCATGTGTGTGTGTGTGTGTGTGTGTGTGTGTACACTTATTTAGCTATTCTCTTTCTGGCATTGTAAAATCCAAAAAAAGATTCAAATAGGTGTAACGGTAACTATAGGTAGGCGACTGACTTAGTTTTTGGTGAATCTGGGAATTTTCCAAAACAAAAATAATTTATACAAACTTGAAGGCAACCATTCCCGTTACATGTTCCTGTGCCTCACATTTACCACACTGTAACTGTGGAAATTGTATCAAACTTCTACGCTATTCTGTTGTATTGTAGATTATTTGAACGCTACAGTTTTGAAGTCAGCTTTCAGCTGCTCACACCACATGAAGATTAGTTATATTTTTTAATTTTCACCTTCTAGTTTAGTCATGACTTTCATTATGCTCAAAATGTTTCCCCACTAAGCTTCTATGCACACTTAGTACACAAATAGATCAGATTCCATAATGAATTCAGAAAAAAATGAGCCTGTGTGTGTAAAATCTGTATGCATATAAGCTAATGCATGTTATGTTATATATGTCATAAACCCATCTCTGCTTATAAACCTATTAATTGTCCAGATTTTCCTTCAACATACAAGATTGGTGAGAACCAAATTCATTTGCTCTAGTCAGTCACTAAATCTGTTCATATTTAACAAAGAATTTGGACAAAAATATAAAGAAATGTATCATCACACTTGAAACAGAACAGAAAGTGCTGAATGAAAACGTGTTCAGTTCAATACAGTTTATTTATGCAGCTTCAGTTCACAACACATTTAATCTTGAGGCACTTTGCAGAGAGAGAGGGAGAAAAAAACAGAAGTAAGTTATGTGAGGGCTGACGCCAGACTCCTCAGAACTTGCAGCAGGTGCCGCAGCCGCTCTCGTTGGGGCAGCAGTCGCAGCAGAAACGGCAGCGACGGTGGCGTCTGCGGCGGCGCATGTGGACCGAGTTGTACGGCATCTGAGGGGGAACGCGAGTAAGATGTTCATTCATCTACCTCCTTATTAGTTTGTGTGTGTGTGTGTACTATATATATACATGTATATATATATATAAAGTAACGATCGGTAGGTTTTTTCATCCCGGTGGTTACCACATACCCTATGCCCCAGCCGAGGGGGATTAACATGGGAACAAGTCCAAGCATGATTTTCCTGTGCAACTCTCACTCTATAAAAAACGGTCTTGATCTGGCTGATCCTTTCAGATTCAGTCATTTAAGCATCAGAACCTCTTTTGATCTATTGTGATGTAAATAATGTCATCTATGACCTCATCACTGGACTTCTGGCGCAACATCTTGCTTCTGATCGTTTCCATAGCAACGATCAGATCAGTTCTGCATAACTCAAGCTGACATAAATACTTCAATAAAAAGTAATACATTTTAATTTATTTAACATGAGGTTAATATATTTGTATTTGATTAAATTTGTGCATTTGGTCTTATGCTATTTATCCACCATTATTTTTAATTATTATTCATTTATCATGATTAGTCATGTATTATTCATTACACAGTGCTAGGAACACTGTGTAATGAATACAACTTTAAAACGATGACACGTCAGTTTACATTTTAATACTGCGGCGAGCCGCCGACATGATTCAGGTTAGAACCGGGTCAAACAAATGAAACTCATTTTGACACTTTAAATGCACTTTATATATATATAAATATATATACAGTTTTATATATTTATTTTTATATAAATATATATATCTGTATATGTGTGTGTGTGTGTGTGTGTGTGATGTCACTCTGTCATTTCCAAATCAGACATGCTTTTATTTTGAAATATCTCATCGAGTCAGACAGCTTACGTTCCAGGATTCCTCCGGTGTGTCGTGATCTGCCACGAGTGAGCCGTCATCAGTCGGCACCTCGAGACCCTGTCGAGATGCTTCATTTTAATAACCCCATGAAGGCGAATAAATGGATAAATGTACCTGTAGATGAAGCTCTCACCTCATTGACAGGGACAGCATTGTTCTCATGAACACAGAGAAAAGTGAGCAGGAGGGAAACGATGGCCGCAACAGCGATCGTCTTCATGATGCAGAGAGTGGGACGGATGCAGATGTAATAGATTTGCTTCTGATCTTGAATTCTCTCTATTGATGGAGTGTGAGGAAAGTGCTCCTATTTATATTCACAGGGATGCAGCTGTAACCCGGGAATTCCCCACAGTGGGATATTTGGGATAGAAATGGGACATTTTGAAATATTTGCAGATTTAGTTTGTGAAATCTGTCAGTTTTTGTCATTTTTCCAGTCTTAAGCAACACACAGCAACAAGCCTGCAGCTCAGTCTGCACTGATAATATATGTATTAGTGTCCACCTACTTAAAATAAGCCATGGCTTTCCTCCACAAACCTTTCAGTTTCTCATTTTCCTTTGACTGGACAGGAGAGAAAAGTCAGAAATTGAACAATCCCAAACATCCTGACCCGCTGAGAAACTCCCTCACAGAAGCCAAGTCAGGTGTGTGATGTTGCTCCAGCTCAATAAACAGCAGAGTCAGCAGCTTTGATGCTTTATGATAAAAGATTTGCTTCACTGATAAAATGTATTATTTTTCTGCTTAAACATCGTCTCTACTGCCTTCTCGCGCATGCGTTCGTCATCATCAAGGTAGGCGTTATTGTCCACAGACGTTGGCACAAAAACAAACAATGAGAAAGACTTAATGACTGGAAATGATAGATGTTACTTTTGATGAGAGCTGCAGAAAATTATAGCCTGATTAAACTGGCTTTAATTGGTGCAGGTCTTTGTGGGTAAGTGTCTTCTGTTTCAGATTTTTTTAGACTACCATACAAACTTACGTAACATTTAAGTCCAGAGTTTGACTAGGCCGCTCTAGCACCTTTGTTTTAATCTACGTTTTGAGTCGGACTCTTTGCAGTTGGGCTGTGCTTGAGCTGAAGATTTTCAGGAACAAACTGCCTACATATTTGCTACTGAGAATTCATTTCCATTTGAAGTTGAGTTGTGGTCTATGAGTATTTGTACATTTGAATCGAACAGACTCACTCTGGCCTTTATGTCAGTCTGATGATTGAATGTGAGAAATCAGCTGGTATTTATACTGGAGCGGCTGTTGCGCAACCACTGACAGTATTTACTGCAGCAACTTTGTGGGTTTTTTCCCCCCCAGCGTTCAATGACAGGAAGTGGGCAGAAGGCAGGAAAATGTTTTCTGGATGTTCTTACCTGTAAACCGAGTTTTTTCCTTTTTTCTTTTTTACACATTTCTTCAAAAAGCGGAAGTAAGAAAATAAAACGCCTGTGAT